TTGAAATATATTCAGGTGGGGAGTCTTTCCCCACTAGTGACAGTTTCAAAAGAATAAATTGTGTTTTAACAGTGATATTGTCCAAAAAATAGAAATTCGCATGGCGTGTACCTGCTAGGTCGTGCCCGGCCTCACCATTACTTTGTGCTCCGCAAACTCGTTTGATCCCCTGCATGTTTTTAAGTTTTAGTTTTTGAAACTTGGTGATTTTCTAACAAGTTTTAGCAATTGAACTTGGTGAAGTTTTAAAAAGTTGTTACAATGTATTTCGAAAGTGGTCTTATTTCAAAGCCCTCGTCACAAGAAAAATGAATATGCAAACGGATAATAAATTTGACTCTTACTTCAAAAGATATCATAGCAAGGCAGCGCAGCTCCGACTTCGATGGCCACGAGTCCCTCTGACCGGATCCACCTCCGGAACGATGCCCCCAAGAGAGAAAGCGACGCCGAATAGTGCCGTTATCGTCCGATCTAAACTAGATCAAGGGTTTCCCCCGGAGCACGTCGGGAAAGGCACGGTAGGAGCTGCTACATCGATGCCTCCAACAAGGGAGCGATGCCAGAAGGCGCCGCCATCGACGACTCCGACCACAACTGGAGTACGACTTTCGCCGACAGTCCCACCTGCATAGCCCGAGCCCAGAATCCAATTAGCCTACACACCAGCCACTACCTCTGCCTCCACGGCCAACCCTACCTCCCGACAAGCTCGACATGCTTCCAACCTTCCGTCCACGTCCCCCACTGGACGAAGGATGCAACCCCCGCAGCGGCGCATTCTTCTCCCATCGGAAGGATGCAACCAAGCAGCACGCCATTCGTCTCCTCGAGGATGCAACGCCTGTGGGCCATTCATCTCCCGACGAAGGATGCAACAACCGTCGGGGCGCCATTCCTCTTCGTCCAGCCACTACCATCTCGTCCTCCGCAGCAGCGTCGAGCTCACCCGACCACCAGCGGGAGGATGCAACACCGAGCAAGGTGCCATTCATCTCACACAGCTTCGTCCGCACGGCTAGTGGCGCCGACCACGTCGCCACCCGAGCCGCCTCTAGACCCCCAGCCGCCAGGGCGCCAGATCCGGCTGCACCCAGCCAGGGCTGCCCGCTGCCAAGCAAACGCTTGCAACAGCCACCTCCGGCCGCGCTAGTGCCAGATCCGGCCGGCAAGGCCCGTTAGATCTGGCCGCACCCAGCCAGCCAAGGGACCCCGACACGCTCGCCGGATCCGCCGCCCCGCCGCCAAGGGCGCCCGCTGCAGCAGCTAGCGACCCCGCCGCCGTCGCGCACCGATGACTGCGCCAGATCCGCGCAGCCCCGCTCCGCCTCCACGCTCCCGCGCCAGATCCACGCACGTCTCCTCCCGGGCGCGCCCGTAGCGTGCTATGGCGCAAGAGCCTCGCGAGCTCGCCGCACTGGAGCCCCGACGAGCCGAGCACCAGCCTCGAGACGCCCGCGTCGCTCGGTCCTGCGCAGAGGAGACCAACGGCCCCGCCGCTGCCGACGCTGCACGGGCTTTGCCCGGCTGCGCACACCAGCGACGGCGAGGGGAGTAGCTGCGCGGTGGTGGGCTCCCGGCGGCGTGCTAGGTTTTCCTCTCCCGAGCCGCCCGCGGGAGCGGCGCGAGAGAGGGTCTCCCACTTGGTGGCATATGCATTAAGCGTGATGCATGAGGGAATTAACTGATATAACTTTTGCTCTTGCCTTAGTCGGTCTTGTTGGTTAAATTTATGATTAACGTTGAAGCACGAGAATAGAGGAAGCATTATATTTTGAAAAGGAGGGAGTAGTAGACCGTAAATTTGCATCGGCACGCAACAATTAGTACGACAAGGCTGCAAACGCTTTTGCAAATCAACGCGTGTCTGGCTGGGTGGCGTACGTGGTGATCCACTGCGTGCCTAGCTAGCTGCTTTTTGTTAATTTGTCTGTTAATTTTGACATCTTGCGTAAACACAAACGCATGTTGCCATCTTCTTGGCCGCAAACCATCTTGCGATCTTGGTTTGTCTTGCTTGGAGGCTTGGTGCATGTGCATTTTACGTATCCGTGCGTGCAGACGGAGCCAGGGAGAGCAGGACACGCCCGCGCGGCCGATCGGTCCCGAGCGAGCCTCAGAGGATCGACCGGTCAATTTTCACGGAGATAATGCCTGCGCAGCCTGCAGCCGGCACTATTTTGCATGCAAAAAAGTAAAGGTTATTTCGTCCCGTCGCATCGAGTCAGTTCTAAGTAAATACAGTTAGGGCAACTCCATCGCGACCCCATCCCGACGGGCCCATTCGTTTGGGATAAACAAACCGGTCGGTCCAGCGTGCAACTGTTGTCCGGACCCATCTTGTCCGGTTTGTATTCATGCCGACTCATTTCAAGCGCAAACATGCGTTGAATTTGGATCGCGGCGGACATCAAACGGACGCGCGCTCGTCCGCGCCGAGACCGCGTGGCAGGCGGTCACCTACCTCCCACCCGCCAACATCAATGTGCACGCGCAGCCGGGCCCGCCTGTCATCCGCCCAGGCGAACGGTCGCGGTCCTTTTTAAATGGGGAAGCCGTGGACCGATCATCGTCCACACTCCCTAGTCGAGCCCAACCTGCCTTCTCGAAACCAACAACCAAACCCTAGCCTTTCCTCATCCCCGATCTTGCCGGTCGGCCACCTCGCAGCCACTGGCTTCTGAAACCACGGCCGCAAGGGGAAGCACGACCGCGAGGCGTCCTCGTCGTCGGGCCGCCGCCGGTGCCTCTGAGGGCCGTGCGCGCCACGAGGAGATCGAGCGCCGCTGCCGCCTCTTGCCCGACGACCTGTTCTACGACGACAGGTACGCCCCAGACTCCACCCTCTGGGACACTTGGTTCCAGGACGAACACGACACGAGGCGCGCTTCATTCTTCGTCGGGGCCGCGACGGCCACGTGAGCGCCGTGCAGGGCATGCTCCCCGGGAGCACGGACGTACACGAGTGCGTGGCCTCACGCCCACGCCTTCGCTTTCGCCGTCTTCGTCTCCACCACCACCACCTTGCATGACAGCGAAGGAGGAGGCCCGTCTCATGCAGCGTGTCATGAAGGACTCCATGCGCACGCACGATGAGCGCCAATGGGAGGGCCTCGAGAAGATGGTGGCCCTCTCTGCGGCCGGCGACGTCGCCATCCCCGAGCTGGAGATGGTGAAGGCGGAGGAGGTGATGGAGGAGGAGCCGGTGGCCGCGTTCCACCCGGACCTGGTGGGCCAGCAATGGAGCTGGTCGTGCACGGCTCCGAAGATGGCCGAGGCCGTGGGGGCGTGAACTAGTGCCCCACGCCGCCGCGATCACCGGAGCGGGAGGCCTCGCCACAGGAGGAGGTGGTGCAGGCACCTCCGGCCTTCCAGCCCGCCCCCGTGTACCACGGGGCGCCGCCCCACCTCTGGACGCTGCCGGAGTACGTCGACCTCGTCAGCGACGACGACGACAACGGCGTCCACTGAAGACGGCCACGATCACGACATCGATGGGCACGGCAGGAGCGCGCGGGCGGCGTTTTTTTTGTTTTTTATGTTAATTATGTCAATGTGAACCGTGGAACTGTGCCGTTTCGTGACCGTAAACCCCATAATTATGTTTATGTTTTTATTTTTGTATTTATTTTATATTTTTTCGCATTTTATTTTATTTTTTGCTTTTTTTAATCACGTCCACCCCAGACATGATTTGGGGTGCGGCCGCGCGTTGGACGCATCGAAAACCCAAACGACCCAACCGGATGTGGGCCGCCCATTGCCGCCACAAACGGATGAAAATAAGCCAAACCGGACGTATGTTTGGGGTCGTGTAGTGAGTTGGCTTACAGAAGAGAAACATGGTTTGTAGTCTTGACACGTAAAAAGAGAAGATCACAAGCTAGTACAAATGTGGCCTTGCACCTTGGTGCATCCACAAGCTCTGCGCCACCTTTTTATTTTAAAAAAAGAGCTAGTACAACCGGTTTTTTTTTTTGAGACACAACCGGTGAAACAGTGAATTGATTAGCGGACCAGCATCGGCCCATCGGATCAGCCGGCCACATGCGAGCGGCGACGACGACTACGACCGGAGCGCTCGCTCGGAAACGACACGCGCCTCGGGTGGCGCGGTCGCGGGGGAATCTGCCGCTGCAGTGCAAGGGCAGCGCTGGCCGGGGACAGACAGGACGCGCGTGGGTTGGGCATCGGGCCGTGGCAAAACAGTAAACAGTGGTTCGTGCCCGTGAGCCCTGCCAGGCCGATATCATATGACCATTTGGGACTAGACGACGACGGTTTTTCACTCCTCTGCCCGTCTGGTTTTGGCCTGTGGGTTTGCCTGTTTTTGATGAGTTGATCGATCTTGGATCTGGTTCGTTTTGGAGGCGTGTTATCAGCCCTGTTGCCGCACAGAGTATAACAGCGCCCGTGCCTCGCCATTTGCAGATTGGGGCATTGGCCGCCCATGGTTTGGTTAAGTTCCCCCTCACTCCCCGACTGGAAATCGGTGCCCCTGCGCTACCGTCCATCCGGGAGGAATCCACCGTCTGGATACGGATCATCATCTCACATGCAGCGCAAATCTACTTATCAGGGAACCCTTTCACCCACGAGGACCATCAGTAACTTCGATTACTGTGGGGGCGGGACCATGGTCCATCCACACGAATCAAGGCCTCTGTGCAAGACGTGAAAAACTTTTATTGCCCGAATTTAAACCGCACCCACCACCACCCTATGCTGTTCAGCAGCGACACAACGGCATCACAGGACCAGCTAGCAGGGAAGGAGTAAACCGAAGACGAGTCTCTTATTTTCATTATTGATGAAAAATATACCCAGCATCACATCAACCAGCAGGTGATGTGCAAAAGTTGCACCGAGGCGCAAGCAAAATGCTTCAGCGGACAAGAATGTAGCAGCACTAGTTCAGTTCCAGACAGCTTCACACACTGATGCAGCTAGAGGTGGCTCGGGTGGGATTGGCCAAACACTGGACCCTCTCGTACTGCCGATCACGAGGAAGCAGTCGCACTTGCCGGGCTCTCTACCGCGTCCTCCTCCAGGTGGATCAGCTTCCCACTGATTTTCCTGGCACAGTAGCAAAGCATCCATTATGTTCATGTTAACTCTTGTGATATTTACATTTGGTGACAGACGTGAGCAGGAAAGGAAAAAGCAGCACGGTACGTACCTCTGATGGTGCGGTTTCTCATCGGACAACACTTTCATCAGCCTCTCCTCAAAGGGCGTGGCATGCCAGCTCACTCTCTGGTCCTGGAAACACCAAAGTAGGTACTAGAGTAAGTCACATGCAGAACTACAGATACAGATAGCTCTGAGAAACATCAGAGGAAGATGTGTGTATAACCTCTTTGTACTTGGTGGTGGTGTTGGGGATCCCATTGCCGTCCCAGGCCTTGGGCAGCATCGGGGTAGGGTTGTTCTCAATGTCCCAGTTCAGCCCAGAGGCCACAAAGATGGGCACGTCACTGAGATCGACGCTCCCGAAGCCCAGCTGCCGTCCAGTTTGGCCCTCACCATCAGCACACGAAGTCTTGAGCCAGCAGGACAGGCTGGCCACGCCATGCTTCCCGTTCTCCGAGCTCTTACTCATCAGCTCTCCGACGCCGCCGCCCACAAGCTGCTGCTGGTTGACATTCTCATCCCTGGGTTCCTCTGGAGGCGTCACCTCTTGAGCGTGCTGCTCTTTTCTGCCGGCATGGAACAGAAATGGCGCAGACTCTGATGACAGTTCCGTGTTTGCATTCACTGAGCTTGGAAGGGTTTGCTGCTGAGGCTTCTCGTTCTCGGTGGAATCTGCAGACAGGTACCTTCTCTTGGGAGGATGAGAGGCGACCACGGGGGAGGACTCGTCTCTCAGCTCCGTCCACTGCAGCTTGTTCTCGATGGGTCTCAGGACAGGATAGACGAACTGCTTGCTGGCTCTCCCGCGCTTCCCAGGCTTGAAGTTCCCCTGGTGTGTGGTGAATCCAGGGGTCTGGATGTCGTCCCTCAGAACCAGAGGGGTGGGGAAAGGCGAGTCGCTACGATCAGGATTCTGGTTCCTGATGATCTGGTCTGAAGACCTTTCCTGCGATGAAGATCTCGGCGCTGATTCAACCTCAGTGGCATGGTCGTCAGTGCCTTCGTTGGTGTCCTGGTCATGTTTCAAAGCACCATCGTGCCCGTCGGAGTTGAACCTGTGTTTGGAAGAAAGAAACAGCCAAAATGGTTTTCAGACCAGCTAATAACAGTAGCCATCATATTACTAGTTTACAGGATCACAACATTCATGATGATCTTGTTAAAAAAAACCATTCATAAAGATAGAGGGTAGCTCTTTACCCTTCAGATAAGTAATCCTTATTTTCAGACACCAGGGCCTCTTTATTTTCCTCTGCATTGTTGGACGTCTCATTGCACTGAGTGTAACAAAAAAGATGTCAAGGCAGTGTTTTTTTTATAAAAAGAAGATCACAGAGACAAACTCAATAAGACAATACCTCAGTAATTTCTTCCTCTTCGACTTGGTTTGACGCTTTCAGAATTTCTGGAGGGGTTTCTGATATTGTGCCACAAGATTTTAGATAATTTGCCTGGTATAGTGGAATGTCATGAAAACATTGTGGGAAATTGTTAGTATAATCTAGAGTGATAGGTTTTAAAAGATAAAACGGACTTGCGAAAGTAAAGTGTAATGATTTCTATCAGTATGCAATGTAGAGATAAATGTAGAAATAACAAGCAAATGAGCATTACAGAACTTTTCCATGGTAATTGGTTGGTGTTAACTGCTAACTATGCAAAATTCTGACAACCAGTAAGACTTGGCCTATATCTGAAGATTATAATCCTAACTATTTAACTGAGTGGACCAGAAATCTGACAACCAGTAGACATGGCCTATATCTGAAGATTATAGTCCTAATTATTGAATTGCATGTACCAACCACCTACCCCTGAAAGTTTAAGATGATGGGGAAAGGCAGACAATATATTTCACCACTCCCTCTCACATCTAGGCTCCCCTAGGCCTTGGACTTGAGATCGATGTAGGTTACAACTATCTTTAGAAATAGTGCGCCAGCTGGGTGTTGAAATGATGACCTATTTGGCTATGATATCATACTAAGCTGCATGCACATAACAACTTTTCCCAAAAGCATATGTGGAAAAGACGGTCAATATATTTCAACTATAACTGATCATTATACTATTCTGAACTACATGTACAATGCATAGGAAAAAACTTTACAAGGTCATGCATTGTATAGCATGGTCCTTGATATAATTATGCAAAGGCTAAAAGTTCAAATGGGATTAAAAAAGATCATGATTTAATTTTGCAGTGCACATTGACTTCAGCAAAGTCTTAGCCTGATGGGCAAAGGCGAGCAATACATTTGAATACTGCTTGACAACCCTACTATTCTGAACTACCTACACAACAAAATCTTTACAAGGTTATGCATTGCACAGCATGATCTTTCAACATACTTTTGCAGAGTCTAAATGTTCAGATGAGATCTAAAAATTTAATTTTGACATCAGCGAACAATGACTTCAAATGAGATAACTAGCAATTGGTAGATTTCCAGTGTACTTGTGGAAATTTTTATGGCACATCCACTGAAAATAGTCTGAACAAAGGGTTCCAAATTTGCAAATAGTGTTATTATTCAGCCAACAACCAGATGTGTCTCCCCAAGCAAAAAGGTTAAAAACTACTCCTATTTAAAAGGCAGATGATATTTTGTTGCCACGGGTGCATACTTTATGCATTCCACTGAACATTAATTAGTCACAGCGATGAATGCCAAGCATAGGAGTTAGTCCACATGACAAAAGTAACATAAACTGAACATGGCATATTCAGGAGATGAATTTTAGATTTAAAAGTTAAATACAAAAAAGCCAACTGCCACATACTTCCCACAACCAAAGAATGCATGGAAGGGGAACGTTGCAGTTTTTTGGCATTTTTCTGCTAGGACTGCGGCACACTTTCCATTCTACTAAAGTGCAGTGCAGTGCAGACTAACAGCCAACCCTAGGTACTAAAAACCTTATGGCAATTGAAGAACAAGTTTCTAGCTGCAAAGTTCATCTAGACGTAGCAGGTAACACGACGAGGAGAATAGTGCAGTGCAGACGTGACAGTCTATCCACATGAAGACCACATCGGTGTCAAAGTCAAACAATTCAACCACTTCAAACTGCAAGCATCAACCAACTCAATTTTTTCGCTGCTACCCACCGGCAACACGGCCTGAATAGCGACGGGGTTGAACACAGTAAAAATAACACAGAAACAGGAAAGCGCTTTGCAGTCGATCTCGATACCTCTCGCCTGAGGTCGTCGTCGACCCCTCCGTCGTTCCCGAGATCCTCCTTGGGCGTCCGGTTCTCCTCAAGCTCTGAAAACAAGACAACACGCAATCAGTAGTCCGTCACCATCATCAACAGATCGAATCGGATCCGATCGGCGCAGCGGGAGATTCAAAAACTCACTCGCCGTGCCGTCGTCGTGGTGGTCGTCCAGGAAGGCGTCCCCGAGGCGGGTCTTGCGCACGAGCGGATCCTGAAGCAGAGAAACACCCGAAGAAACAGATCATCGCCACGCGGATCGGAAACGAGGGGTCTAGGGAAGACGAAATCGCAGGGGGTGGGGGTCAGCGTACGTGGAGGGCCCGGCTGGCCGGGTCGGGGCGGCCGCGGAAGCAGGAGAGGAAGCAGCCCATGGCGTGGCCGAGAGAATCCTGCCGCGAGCTCGCTCGGTCGCCGCCGCCGCGGTCGAGGGTTTGGGGATTGGTGCGGCGGGATCCCGGGGAGGGATTGTCGGAAATGGAAAGACTGGGGAGAAGAGGAGGCGGAGCTGAAGGGGGACGGGGCGGCGAGATTTGAAATGGAAATTCGAAACGGAGACACGGACACCGCAGACGACGCAGGGCGCAGCAGGACGGTCGCCTCGCGTGGTGGGCCTTTTTGTCCCGTTGAGAGGAAATGGGTTGGGCGCGGGCTTTCGGAGGGCGTAGATGGGCCGGACGTAGAGACGAATGTAGGAGTACGGTGCAGCACGGTGATTAGTCCCACCTCGCTTGCTTAGTGGAGTTGAGCTCGAGCTGATGGCTACTAAGGCCTTGTACAATGCTGGGTGTGCTTAGTATTGTTGCATCTCAAGAAAATTTTGCCACACAATGAAGAGTGCTTCCAGTAGGTGCTTAGTTGCTTCAAATATGTAGCATCCGTGAGGGAAGGAGAGCAGTAAACGCCCCTAAGCACCGGCTGGCATCGAAGCCAAAGTTTGCTTTCGTACCACCTAATAAGCACTTGTGTAAGGGCATCTCCAGCCGTTTGGCCCCCCAGGAGGCATTTTTTTCGCCGCCTGGGGGGCTGCTGGCGAAGATTTTGGTCCGGGGATGAAAATCTTCCCAGCCGTGTCCACCCCCAAGCCGCCCCGTCCTTCCAGCAGCGCGTCCTCGCCGCCTCCGCTGGCCGCTACTGCCCCCGCCCGCTATGGCCACCGCTGCTCGCGCCCGCGCCCGCTCGCGCCTGTGCCTGCGCCCGTTCGCGCTCGTGCCTGGCCGCTCGCGCCCGTGGCCGCGCCCGCTCGTGCTCGTGCCTGGCCGCGCGCGCCCTCCTTGACCGCCCGTGGAGCGCGCGAAGGAGTCGGGGACTACGGC